CTTTAAACGACCCGCGTGCAGATGAGACAGGGATTTCTAACATTTTCTCTAATTTTTTTTTCATTCCTCCTTCTTTTCCATGACATAAAAGCAGAACCTATTCCTCCCCATTGCTCTGTTTTTAGATAGTGATAGCTTTGTTTTGGATGCCATTGAAGGAAGAGAACTTGTAATTCATAACATATTGTTGTCAAAATCTTTATGCCATACCTGGCAGATGGCTTGATAAATAAACTAGAAACATCAATAAACACAGCAAAGAGCTGTTCTTTAAAGTGGAAAGTATGGTCCCAATCCTTGCTAACCGTACACAGTGCAGCTCCGGCATATGCAGAGGATACCCGTGAGATGCTCTTACGTGGCCCAGCGAGGAGCTTGGCTCGCTCGTGGCTTCCCTTGCTTAGATCAGGCAAGCTGCTCCCAGTGCAGGCGAGGAGAAAGCTGCCATGAGAGCAGGAGTCCAGGGGTGCTTTGAGCCCCTCTCCTTCTGCACAGGGATGTGTTCATGAGGGACTGGGTCACACGTGGGACCCTGAAAGCACCCCGCTCTGGGGGCCGGGGGCTTGCTGATGTGACCAGCACTGCCCCTATTTCCCCATTTCATGGGGCAGCTTCTCTGCATAACCATGGTTTCTTTGCTTCTCTTCGGGCACCAAAATAGCCCCAACCTGCAACGCGCTTTGGCCATGCAAACTGGGGAAAAGCTTTTCCTCGGCCTCTGTGCCGAGCTGCACGGAAAGGAAGGAGAATCTGCTCCAGTGTCAGTGGACGCGAACGTGAAAAGAGCAGGAGATTCTGAAGTGAGGAATTCCAATCAGAAAAGTCCCTCCTTTTATCTTACACAGTAGAGAAAAAGAAAAAAGAAAACCCGAGAATAAAGAAGGAATCATTTCAGCTTTCCTGCATAGAAGGGCAAAAAGCAGCTTCAGCTATCAAATTCATTATTTTTGCAGTCTTATAACTTAGAGCTCAAACAAACTGCTCTCAGTTCTAACATTTGTTTCTGGTTTCAGACTAGTAGAAATCTAATTTCCTTCTCCCCAAGAGCAAATGTCAGCACAAGCGGGATCTGAAATTTGTTGCTTGACACCTGCAGCAAAGAGCTAAATTGAGAGTAATATTTCAAAGAGGTACTTGGGAGGTATGTGCTTAAATTTGGTTAACAGACAAGCAGGCTTGTGTATGTTCCTCCTGCATATTACCTCTAAAATGTATCCCACATCACCCTGCATTGACATAAGGCGAAGGAAAGCGAACTGCTAGAACCACTCTGATTGGAACCATGCAGGCCAAATTCAGTGTTTTAGACAACTTCTCAAGTCTGGCTTCAGAAATTAGTATTATGATTTTACACTTCTAAACACACAGGCCAAAAGAGCCTGCCTAGTTTCTACATCATTTGCTGGGTTAAGAGTAAAAACAGTCTACAAATAAAACGAATGTCTGATAGTTGTGATTCAGGATAATTCCAGATTAAAATCTTGACAGCTATACACAGTCAGCATCCTCTCTCCTCCCACCCTTGCTTCAGTGTCTAGATTTCTTCACCACTGTGGGCAATCTGCCTCTGAGTTTTGTAAGAAGAAATCAGTGACCAGTACTGGCTGTGAGCTACTGACTGCAACCCCAGGATTTCTGGAGAGTTTATGACAGCATCCTGTGAATAGGTATTCAGAAATTCAGTATTTAAATGTAGCAAATCAGCACACTTCTGTAATGATATTTAGTGATTCTGTAATGATATTTATTCTAGCTAATCTGTAAAATGCGCTATTCCGACACAACGGTTGGGTAGTGCAGCACATGAGCCACTGCTAGTTTGGTAACTCACTCCAGGCTGAGAAAGCAGGCTAACTCCTATCCTATCCAGGTCTGACTCCATGTAGCAGAAGCTCACAAATTCACTAGATTTTCCTGCTTAACTGGTGCAGCTTGTATAATCCTTTTGGTACAACTGCTTGGCACAATTCCGAAATTCACAGTGCGGATTTCTCATTTTGGGAACGGGTCCCTGAGCTGGAAACTGATAATACTTTAAACTACACTGGCAATTTCTGTTTGAAGATGTCAAAGTGCATTTTCAGTTGTCACGTCAGCCTGAATAGACATGTATCTTATTTATATATAAACAAACACACACAGAGAGCACGACAACTGAGCCACAGAAACGTAAGCAGGGAACCAGGTTAAGATTAAAAATCAAATTGCCTGCCTTTTTGTCCTCTGCTACAAACACAGGAGTACAAGAACGTATATGGCATTTCAACTTAATAGAGCATAAATGATGTAAATTAACATTGCTTCCACAATGCAAAAGAACAAAGCAAAACTAAAAGGATGCGACAGATCTTAAATCGATCTAAATTGGCATAGATCCATTAAAGTCACAGGGACCAAGGTTGTAATCCATTTGTCTTCAGTACAGAAACAGTAATATTTGGATAGGCTAACAGTTATTAGAAATTCTACTGGCATGGAGTTTCTTTAATCTTAAAATCGAGCAATGTCTCAAACGCGCTAACTGGAAGATTGCCATTACTTTCAGCACCCTCTTCTAAAGCTGCTACAGAAGCAATAATTAATGCAAAGGGCAGATTATGCACATGCAGTAGTACAAACGTATTAAAAGTTCTGATTTAAGTAAGAAAAAAGATTGCCTGTAGCCTGCCACCCACAGGGACCATTCTACTATTTTTAAGTCAATTAGTTCAACTTCTCTCAAAAGTGAGCCCTCTCTATCCTCGTTAGTGGTGACAAACACAGTTTACTGCACTTATTATTCCTTTAGCAGCTCATTAGAGCTGGAATACATTAGTGCCAAAGGATCTAAAGGTCATTTATCATCAATTTCTTTAAATACAAAAGACGAAAGCCATCTAAAATCTCCAGAAGGATTGCAATTACTGTAAATAGGATAACTCCGAAAACTGAAACAAAAACCAACAACATCTGTATTTGTTGATCATTACTTCAGAATTAAAAGAAAGTGGGAAACAGTTTCCTAACTCCTACTGAAAAAAAAAAAAAAATTATTATATTTCCTTAACTTTCAAAAGTGAAAACACATTCAAAAACCAATAGGACGATTCTCAGACACTGTGTTGATGAGGAGCACTGATGTACCAAAAGCAGGAAGAGTCTGACCGACCCATACTACGAAAAGCAGTATCTTCTTACAAGAAGCATCGTTCAGGAAGTGCCATATGGACCATTAAATCTGGCCGTTTTCCAGGATAGCAACTGCACAGATCTAGTAAATGTCCACAGAAACCATATATTTCATTATTACTCACTTGTATTGGGCTTTTCCAGAAATGTTGTATCATGATAAAAATCATCAGATGCATTTTAGGAAAAATAGTTAAGCTTTCTGCATGAAAAATTAATCATTATCTATAATTACAACATAATAATAGGAATTACGGGATAAATAGTCTCATCAATTCCTATAAGGAAAATGCCCCTAGATGCCTTTAGCTGAAACTAATTGAGTTGAACAGGAAAATAGTCTGAAAAGCTGAAGAATTTATCAGAGAATGACAAGCTTTTTATATATATTTGAACCAACTATGATTTCTATCCCATGGGCATAACACTTTGTACTTCATTTTTTAAAAAACCCTCCACAGAAATATTATCATTACCTCTTAAATTTTACAGTAATTTTTCATAAGGAAAACACTTTTCACATTTGGGGAAATCTTTAGTACATTAAAAAAAAAGACTTAGATGTGTATGTATTAGTCTGGGAAAAAAAATGAAACGCGTATTTAAAAACAGGAGAATCAAAACAAATGGAAGTTCTTAAAGCCACAGCGCAATAAAAATCCTACCTAAAACGATCAAGGAAAATTGTTTATAGCCTACACCTGAGAGACTGTTAGAAAATATATATATAAATAAAGACTGTATAAAGACCCTTTTAGATATCCACGCAGACTAGCTCTAGCATGGCTTTGCATCATGAGTCCTGTCAAGGTCAGAAGGGAGAGAGCCAAGAGGGGAATCCCAAATGCCATCCCTAAAGAGCATCGAGTGCCCTCTCCCTTCGGTTAGCAGGAGCAGAGGGTAGCTCAGGGTTCACAGTCAGCATGCGAAAAGCTGGCAGAGGGCTGAAATGAAGCAGAGAGATGTCCTCTGGGAATTTGGGGACCTCGGAGAGCATCGCTGCGTCCTG